ATTGAAAATGGTATTGATTTCCTGATTTCCTTTTCATCGTTCTCCTTACTGATGTATAGGAATCCAACTGATTTTTGAATGTTTATGTTGATGCTGTTTTTGTAACTTCCTGCTAGCATGCTGATAGTCATTTAACCTATTGGAGCCTTAGGCAATTCCCTTACCTTCTGTGAGTCTTAACCTTCTCATCTGTAAAATAGGATTGTGTTTTGTAAAACAAAAGTGCTATAAAACACTGTTGTTGTTGTTAGGTGATCTCCAGTCAGTTCTGATTCATAGCGACTCTGTATACAACATAAAGAAAACATTGCCCAGTCCTGCACCATCCTCACAATTCGTTGCTATGTTTGAACCCATTGTTGCAGCCACTGTGTCAATCCATTAAGTTGAGGGTCTTCCTCTTTTTCACTGACCCTCTGCTTGATCAAGCATGATGTCTTTCTCCAGGGACTGGTCCCTCCTGATAACATGTCCAAAGTACGTAAGATAAAGTCTCACCATCCTCCCTTCTAAGGAGCATTCTGACTGTACTTCTTCCAAGACAGATTTGTTCATTCTTCTCTGTTTGCTGTTAGCTTTGTACCTTATAAATAAGTCAGTCAGTGAATTTTGGGAGTTGGGTGGGAGAATAAGCTCAGAAGTAGGCAGTCTTGTCCTTCCTCGGGGGCTCTAGGCCCATGCTAAGCACTTATATTTACAAATTGGTAGATAGGTTTGTGGAGTAACTCCCAATGGCCTGGAAAAGTGAATAGCAGAAGGAGTTGGAGGCTTCTGGTCATGTTAAATGGAAGGGTTCCAGGATTCTGCTGCCTGGGAGCATTTTTTTCAAGCCTAGCAGCTTTCTGACCAGTATAGCTCTATCTTCCTGCTAGGAGAAATCTCAAAATGTTTTCTTAGGTACCAAGTTCTGTTATGGAGGCTGGGGTTTAAGAGAGAGCAAATGTCAACTAATATTAGTGAGCACTTACCAAGTACCAAACGTTTTGCCCAGGGCTAGTTATTGTGCAATGGTGAGCCAAACAGAGGAGTCCTGAAGGAGTCCACAGCCCAATGGGGAAGGCACGCAGGCAAAGGGGATGGTGGAGCTCAGAGTGACAAGGGCTGTGAGGGGGTCAGTCTCATTGAGGGTGACCGATGATTAGGGGGCAGATGGTGCAGTGCAAAGAGCATGGGCTGTGGAGGCAGCCAATGCTGTGTTACCTCAGCTACTTACTTCACCTCTCTGAACCTCACTGTCTTCCAGTTACATAAAATGAGGGCAGTAATGAACACTGCATGGCTATGATAAGAATTAAATGAGATAAAGTAAGCAAGGCACAGAGAAAGCACTAATAGGCTGCCAGTACATTGTAGTTATTCTCCATTTTCAGTCAGCTTAGTCTTCAGCACCTATCAGGATGTCCAGCTGTATCGCTAGCGTATGTGGTGGTCTTGGGTGAATTAGGAAAAGATGCCCGCCTGACTGTTGCCACTCGGTAGGCACACGGGTTAGCTGATTTCAGCCCCAACTTGGCTGGCCGTCCTTGGACAGTGCACACCTGCACAGACATATGCAGTGGCTCTGAGGGTAACTGATAATGAAATTGACCCCTTACATACAGAGTGACCATACTGTCCCATTTTATACCTGTTGCTCTGGTGTAATATATGCCTTTTCATGTTCATAGGTGTCCTGGTTTGGGCAATAAGTTACAGAGTCTGTCTCTTAAACAGGATAAAGACTGAGGTTCTGAAGTTCAAGACTCAAAAGGAATGAGCCTTAATATGTGGTGGGTAGGAGGATTGAATGAGATTGGGGTTGGTGACTAGGCCGGAGAAGAGTGGAGATGGGTTCTGACAGTGGATAAATCGTGTGGTTAAAAATCAAAAGCTCAGGATACACACAATCTTGTATTTCACAGACAATGGATATTTGCTGCCAGATGGGGGGCTCTTTTTTCTCCATATCTTCCCTTCATCCTTTCCCCCCTCACCAAGCATGAACACCTACTAGGTGTGAGTCTCCTTTATCCCTTCTATTATTGTACCAGGGGAATAAGCGCTTATGAACAGAGCCTCCGAGCCATTACTAGCTAGATTTCCGTGGAAAATGGAACCAAACTGAAAGTGTGACCTGCCTATTTAATGTGTAAAGAAAATGTTAACATGTTAACACTAGGCTGTACATCATATTCCGTACCCAAGAATGGCAAGATATGAAAGAGAGACGGGTGAGTCACCTTTGGTATCAGAAAGGGGGATGGATTGAATGTTGGCATCATGAGAGCCTAGCTGTAGATTAGAATTCCTGGGGCTAGGGCTTTAGACCTTTAGACTTTGGCTTCTGTTTAAAAAAAAAACGGAAAATATAGGAAAACAAATAAAATTGGGGTATGAAGATGTTTCTCACTTCCTAGCTCTGTGACCTGGGGCATGTTAGTTAGCCTCTCTAAGCCCATTTTTTCTCTGGGGACTTGGAGTTGATCATATAAGCTTAGAGTTTTTATAAGAGGTAAATGAGCTAACAAGTGTGAAACACCTAATACTGGGCCCACCACAGAGTAAGCCTTTGTCAAATGTCAGTTTTCTTCCTCAATCTCCTTCCTTGGAGAAGGCCAGGGGAAGTATCTGTGCTTCAATGACTTTCTCTTCTGGATTTTTTTTTTACTTGCAGAAAGTTAGAAATATGGCCCTGGATGATGTCGTGATCCTGAACGTGGACACCAACACCTTGGAAACCCCCTTTGATGACCTCCAGAGTCTCCCAAATGATGTGGTGGGTAATGAGCTTTTGATATTCTGAGTCCTCTGAGCTTGTGCAATGGACATGAACATGACTTTGGTGGATGTGGTGAGGAGCGGAGAGAGCTGCCATTTTCCTATGCCTAAGAATTGCAGTCAGTTCTCTTTCCTTCTAGAAGCTTTGTCTCAGTGTAGAATTGGGAGGTGGTTTATTTCTTGAGCTTTGTTTTACTCTTATGACTTTCATCTTTTCATCAAGATTGTGATCTTAGGGTCTGAACAGCTCCTCTTTCTCTGGGAGCCTGGGGGTCTTGCCATGCCTCTCCCATATGTTACCGTCTCCAGAATGGACAGCTTCCTCTGTATGATACTACAGAATGTGGGTGGGGAGGATTTTCAGTGTGAGCAGTTTGGGGACTTGAACCTACATTTTTCCTGGACCATCATCAAACAAAGCGTTTCCCACTTATCAGGTTATCTGCTGCCAGTCCTTTGAATGTGACTGCATGATTCCCCAAATCTCTGTCACCTCAGGTCTAGACAGAATGTGGACTCATTTCAGCAAAAAAAATCAGCAGCCACATTTGCCACTCTCACATCTGACTGCATACCTGTCCCACATTGCCACTTAGAGCTGCCTCATGGGCAGCTGTTTGAAGTAGACCCTTTCTGCCCCATTGTTGATAAGGATGAGGTGGATTGGGGTTCACAGGAAAGTACAGTTTTGACATTTCTGGTTTGGCCTCCATGGTTCTGCCTGCTAGAAGGTCTGTATCATTAGTCTGACTTCTAGACGGACAGGAGTCAACATTCCTGCCATGTGGTGCTAATACTGGGCTGGGGATTATGTCCTGGTGGTGCAGGTGGGTGCTTTACCTAGTGGGCAGTGGCTCTCCTTTACTGCTGGGAGCCCCAGGGGCACTGTGGAGTTAACTATTCTGAGGAGATTGCTATTTGTTGATGAATGGTTTGCAACATGGTTTCAAAGTTTTCTACTCAATGTCACCTTAACACTTTGGAGACATCCCTTGTGCTCTATGAAAATCTGTTTCAATTGTAACATAATTAAACAATGGCTTCATTCATTGAGTTACTTCGTTCTAGGCACCATGCTAAGTGCTTTTCATTGACCTCTCACTCACTCTTCATACCACTATGAGAAAGGTATTTTTCTTACTCCGATTTTACCCTCAGAGCTAGAAAGGGGTGGAGCACCCAGACATACTGCTTTCTCTAGGTGCCTTCTGCATTCAGGAGCTCATTCAGTTAATAGCATAGCCCTATGAAGTAGGTATTCTCTCCTTTTTATAGAGAGAAAAGAATAGAGTATATGCCTTGCTGAAAAAAATCATACAACTGGTAAGGGACAAAGCTGAGATTGTAACCCCAGAATGGATGACACCAAAGCCTGTGCTACTTCCACTCTATTTACACTGACTGCTTCTGAGGCTGAGATGACAGAAGAACTAGGAAAAATAAAAATATCATAGAAGTGTGAATGTTTGCTGCTAAGCACGTCAGGACAGAGTATTTGGTTGGTATCTTAGAGCCTGTTGGCTATATTTTAGTTACTTTGGTCCAAGGAATCTGAGGTGTTCACACGTGTTCCCTTTCAGTGGGAAAGCTCTTCCTTTAAGCCACAGTGACTCAAAGGCATCTAACAAATCTTAGGCATGGACCTTGCAAGTAATAAGTGAGTATGGGAAGTGAACCTGAGGTCATCAAGCACAAGGAGTGGCCAGGAGCCCTGGGATGAGGGACTGATGGCTCAGAAACCATGGCGTGGCCTGACTGGTCCCTTTGGCATACAGACAGTGTTCCGACCCTATGCTAGGCATTGGGCAGCAAAGATGAAGCAGATCCAGTCTTTGCCTTCAAAGAGCATCTTTTTGTACGGGAAACAGACCTGTAAATTACATACGTAATGCTGTACTTAGCATAATAGAGGCCACAAAGGAAATAGGAATCAGGCACAGTAGGGCCCAGGGGAGGGAATGACAAAATGTTTGGGAGGGCAGTGGAGGCTTCCTGAAGATGGCAGATTCTGGGTGCCTTTTCAGTGATAAATGAGGTGGACTCTGGGAACCAAAGTAATTTGGGCAAATCATTTTCCCTCTCTTAGCCTCAGTTTCCCATCTTCAAAAGAAGACTAACCAGACCTACTGTTAGGATTATTTTGGCAAATAAATGAGATGATGTTGTTGTTGTTAGGTGCCATCAAGTCAATCTTTGACTCATAGTGACCCTATGTGACAGAGTGGAACTGCCCCATAGGGTTTTCTAGGCTGTAATCTTTATGGGAGCAGATCGAAGCCGAGCACTTTGACACAGTGCTTGGCATGTTGTCAGTGTTCAATAAATGATACATGCATTTAATAAAAATTGTCTAATAATTATAGGCAGGGTTGGGAGACAGTTAATACCTTGTACATCCTGTCAATTCTCAACCTGTGCTAAAGGGACTTACTATTTGCAAGCTGATGTATAGCAGGGTTGAGAATGTTCCACAGCAGTGGTTTCCTGCGTGGAGCTCTAACCTCATTAACGATTCCAAAGATAGTGGGGAGAGAATGTGGTCCATAAGATACTTATTGTATTTCAATAGAATAGATTTGATTCTGTGTACGACTATGTGACCTATCAAGTCTCTAGAGGAGAAATCATGTCCACATCATCTTTGTGTCCCCTACACTTGACACAGGACCTGGTACCTTTAGTGGGTCAGCATGTCCACAGTTGACTTCACAGTCTCCCCTATTGCCAAAGCTGCTAACTTAACTACATCTGACAGAGTCTCCCTCTTAAACGTTTCTCAGATCCACATCCTCTTCTCCATCCCTCCTAAACATCACCTATTCCAAGCCCTTGTTTCTTTCCTGCACTGTTACCAGCAGCCTCTGAACTAGTTCTTCTGACTCCAAGCTCTTCCCTCCAGTTCTTCTTCCTCACAGAGTGATCTTTCTAAAACAAATTTAACTGTAATTTTCTTCTACTTAAAATCATTCCAGCAGTGAATGTAATTTCTGAAAAACAAAAACAAAGCAAAACAAAAATCCTTCTAAAGGAAACAAATCTTTCTATAACTTACATTTACTTAGACATTAGAAGCAAGTTCCTTTTGTTGGCTTTGGAATCAGATAGACATTTGCTCAAATCCTAGCTTTTTCACTTACTAGCTGTGCAATCTTGGGCAAAATACTTGAGTTTTCTGAAACGTAGCATTTCATAGGGTTGCTATAAGAATTAAATATAATATGTATGATATATATAAAGCATATGTCCTATGAGCATTATGGAAGAGATCCATATTTATGCCTATTCCCAAGAAAGGTGATTCAACCGAATGTGGAAATTATCTAACAATATCATTAATATCAAATGCAAGCAAAATTTTGCTGCAGATCATTCAAAAGCAGCTGCAGCAGTATGTCAACAGGGTACTTCCAGAAATTCAAGCCAGATTTAGAAGAGGACATGGAACCAGGGATATCATTGCTGATGTCAGATGGATCCTGGCTAAAAGCAGAGAATACCAGAAAGATGTTTACCTATGTTTCATTGACTATGCTAATGTATTCAACTGTGTGGATCATAACAAATTATGGATAACATTGCAGAGAATGGGAATTCCGGAATACTTAATTGTGCTCATGAGGAATCTGTACATGGATCAAAAGGGAGTCATTCAGACAGAACAAGGGGATACTGCGTGGTTTAAAGTCAGGAAAGGTGTGCATCAGGGTTGTATCCTTTCACCATACCTATTCAATTTGTATGCAGAACAAATAATCCGAGAAGCGGGACAATACAAAGAAGAACAGGGCATCAGGATTGGAGGAAGAATCATTAACAGCCTGCATTATCGAGATAACACAACCTTGCTTACTGAAAGTGAAGAGGACTTGAAGCACTTACTGATGAAGATCAAAGACCACAGCCTTCAGTATGGATTACACCTTAACATAAAGAAAACAAAAATCTGCACAACTGGACCAATAAGCAACATCATGATCAATGGAGAAAAGATTGAGGTTATCAAGGATTTCATTTTACTTGCATCCACAATCAACACCCATGGAAGCAGCAGTCGAGAAATCAAAAGATGCATTGCAATGGGCTAACAGGCTACAAAAGGCCTCTTTAAAGTGTTGGAAAGCAAAGATGTCACCTTGAGGATTAAGGTATGCCTGACCTGAGCCATGGTGTTTTCAGTCACCTCATAGGCATGCGAAAGCTGGACAATGAATAAGGAAGACCGAAGAAGAATAGATGCCTTTGAATTGTGGTGTTGGCAAAGAATATTGAATATACCTTGGACTACCAAAAGATGGAACAAATCTGTCTTGGAAGAAGTACAACCAGAATGCTCCTTAGAAGCAAGGATGGCGTGACTACGTCTCACATACTTTGGACATGTTATCAGGAGGGACCAGTCCCTGGAGAAGGACATCATGCTTGGTAGAGGGTCAACAAAGAAGAGGAAGACCCTCAACAAGATGGATTGACACAGTGGCTGCAACAATGGGCTCAAGCACAGCAACAATTTTGAGGATGGCACATGACTGGGCAGGGTTTTGTTCTGTTGTGCATAGTGTTGCCATGAGTCAGAACCAACCTGAGGATACCTAACAAACAGCAAACAAAATGAGCACTAATAGATGGTAGTTAATGGTGATGAACTATGGATGCTGACAATAATTAGCATGGCATTCAGGACCCTCCTTCATGATGTGATTTCTCTCCCTTTTTTTTTCCCCCAGAGCTCTTCCCCTTCCCTGCTTTAAACCCTGTATTGTAGGTGTTTGGAACTATTAGTGGTTCCCCCAAACTTACATGTTTTTTCATACCTTCATACTTTGCGTACAGGTTTCCTTTGTCCCAAATGTTCTATTCCGTGTCAATCTCTTACACATTCTTTGAGACATACCTTAAATATTATGCTATAAAAACCTTCCCTGACCTCTCCAGGTGTATTTGACCATGTCTTTCTCTATGTCCCCATTGCCCCTGTATTACTTGTATAATTATATTTAT